ATTAAGACATGTCATACGTTTACAGACTTTTCGAAACCCTGCAATTTACCTAACGAGTTCAATTAACGATGTACAATCCTATGTTAAATTAGGCAGGCTAGCAGTGTCGTGAAAGAGGTTTTTCCGCTCGTAATGGCGTAACGTGGGATCTGTAAAGATGGTATTTGGTATATAGCAGACCGTTTAGTGCTCATTGTTAGGGATGGGCGACATCCAGGACCCTATAATATTTCTGTCCGTCCAACTTTATTACGGCATTGTTTGAATTTCCGATGGGACCCGAGGCGATATAACACGTTATTATAATGTGGTTTTTATTAAGCTCGCTATCTCGGATCTACTCGCCTAAAGAAACTATTAACGTCGTTTTTTTTTTCTCCCTATACATTTTATCTAAGTTTTTTTATGGTCCGCAGTTGTTTATGTATCGAGGTTCAGGAGATGTCGGCTGTATTTAAAGGGTCTAATAATAGAGGGGAAATTAATACATTACGAAGTCTCTATAATTTCATTTGCCAGTCTTTCACATATTCATAAGCATATGTTAATATTATCTGATAATTATCAGATAACGCCAGACTGAATAAACGATATGAATTGATTTAATTTTAAACGGTTTGTGTTTGACGAAGATTCTTTTCTTTTCTCCCTCACCTCATCGGACATTCATTTTGAATGTCTCGTAAATCTTCGACAAGCCGTTTTCGAAAATTTCTAATCTAAAAACACATAATATATAGATTATCCGCGCCCTTCTAAATAAGGCAAAAGTCATTATCATTATTTTTGCCGGGTGGGAGTTTTAATAATTAAAGTGTCCCTATCAAAAAAAACATGGGCCTGCCAACTGGACTCGACCAACTTTGAAGAGAAAAAAAAAATTTAATGAAAACAAAATTAGATTTAAATTGTGATTTTTCGCCTTGGAGTCTGACAGATAAATAGGTTCCTGCCATTTTTGTCATGCTATCCTAGGTCTGTCAGCCTCGTTTCGTCTTTCAGACAGGTTCTTTGATGGGTTCAGACTTCTAGACAGCATAAATTCCAAAAAAAGAAACAAATTTTCGTTTTGTTAGAATAACTGCTTATCAGAAATATAAGCAGGGACAAACAAAACAAATGAGTATGTATCAAAGCCCAAACGCGTCTGAAAGAGCAAAATAGCGAGGATAGGAAGAACAAAAATGACCTGAAACAACCGAGCCACATTTTACATATTATAAATTACTCTGATTCATTAATTAGGAAAGATCTAGCAATGAAGATGTCAAGAAGCCGAAATACTTCTGAAAGAGTTAAAAAGATTGGCAGACCGGAGATAAGCTGAAGCAAGGTAGGCCATTTTAGTCTGGATAACCTTGTTGTTTTGGTCTGTCAGTCTCAATTCGTCTTTTAAGAATATTCAGTAGTCAGTTTGTACTTCTATATAACAAATATGCAAAAATAGAGAAGACATTTTGAAACACCGGCCCAAATCAATGAACATCTGGAAAAGCCGAAAGAACGCACGACTAAAACTGCGTGACAGGCCAAAATGATTTGAAACGACCAAGCCACATTTTGTATAATAATAATAATAATAATAATTTTGATTGCTAGAATTACTACAGAGTCATACTGAAGATGTCGAAAAGTCGAATCGCGACTAAAATAGAGAAGACAAAAGACTAAAATGACCTTCAATGACCGAGGCGCATTTTACGTAATATCAATTACTCTGATTCATTAATTAGGAAGGATCCAGCAATGATGATGTCGAGAAGCCTAAAAGCGTCTGGCATAAACAGCGAGGGTAGTAAGACCCAAATAGACCCAATCTAAATTTTCAATATTATTTAACTTTGATTACAGAAATAGCTCTGGCCCAGCACTGACGATGTCAAGAAATCGAAATGCTTCTGAAATAGTTAAACGACAAGGTTTGACAGACCGGAGTTAAGGTGAAGCTCGGTAGGTTCTGGCCATTTTGGTTTGGATAACCTTGTTTTTTGGTCTGACAGACTCGTTTCGTCTTTTAGGCGAATTCAGTAGTCAGTTTGTATTTTTATACAACATATATGCAAAAATAAAGAAGACATTTTTATTTTGTTGGAATAATTTCTATAATTATCACAGAAATGTATGGTGATTAGTGGCCGTTTGTAGATGATTATTCAGAAATCGTGAGATGCGGTCTGGTGTGATGTAGGTTTCAGAAAAACATTTTCTTTATCGTGCCAACGTTTCGATCATTATTGAGATCATCTTCAGAGCCTGGGATTTACAAACATTGTTTAAATTTAACAAAAACATGTAGGATGTGGAAAAAAGTGAATTTATACAATGCAAAAAAAATTATATATTAAATCATAACAATTTCTGAATAATTATCAAAGCCTCACACTGAAGATGTCGAAAATTAGAATCGCGTCTGAAAACCGCAAAACAGCAAAAATAGCCAGACCACAATATAACACGGTCACGCCTCATTTTCTCTAATATTCTGATTTACAGAATAGGCACAGACTCAGAAGTGAAAATGTCGAGAAGCTGTATCGGATCTGATAAAGCAAAACAGAGAGGATAACGTCATCAAAAATTATCTGAAACGACTAAAATAGAGAGGACAGGAGAATAAAATGACCTTAAACGATCGAGGCGCATTTTACATAATATCAATTACTCTGATTCACTAATTAGCACAGACTTAGCACTGACGATGACGAGAAGCCAAATCGCGTCACCATAGAACAAAACAGTGAGGATACGATGAAAATGAGCGGAAACGACGGAGCCACATTTTCTATTATTACCATATACTTTGATTCGAACATCGGCTCTGAAGATGTGGAGAGGCCGAATCGCGTCTTATCTAGCAAAACAGAGAAGATACCTTGACCAAAAATGATCTGAAACAACTAAAAAGCGAGGATAGGCAGACCAAAATAATCTGAAACGACCAATACCGCAAGATCTATAATAATTTTCAGAATTAGCACAGACTCAGCGCTGAAGTTGACGACAGGCCTTATCGCCTTTGAAGTGACTAAAGTACAGTATGACTCTAACCTCTTATATTTCGTAGTCCGATTGACCAAATAAACTTCTCTCAATTAATTAACCTTTATGTAAGGTATTGGTTGAAATGAAAAAGTTAATGTCACGAGCGGGATTCGAACCCACGACCTTCGGCTAAATACCCCGCCGCTGCTCTACCACTTGAGCTATCGTGATTTCGATCCACTCGGACACTAACTTCCCATCTCAACCCCACCTTTTGAATTTTCCCTCCTTTTTGCCATTTTTCAAATGTCGTGTAATCAGGATAATATTCTCGGCGACAGATGAAATGGCCACGGAGAGCTTTAGTGAAGATATACTTCCTTTTAATTATTAAATCCATTATATTTCTTGGTCCGATTGGCCGAATAACTTCTTTCAATTAATTATTCTTTATGTAAGGTGTATCACCAGCGGGATACGAACCCACGACCTTATGGTATGGTAACATGACTATAATTATAAACACTAAAAAAGAAGATCTGTGATAAATTATTATTGTCATTATGATTCGGAGCTCGTGAGATGCGGTCTGGTGTGACGTAGGTTTTAGAAAAATTGTAATTATTATAGAAACACTTTGTTAACCTTAAAGTGTGTAAAAAGTGTTCAGCTTTGACTTTGCAAATCATACAGACATGTCATTAAAGCTTTGGCATCTTGCATTATAATAAAATCATCGTTGTTTAAGCAAGAGATACCGGGGCTGATTATAACTTCTGTAAATCGCATGTGAAATAAATGGATGTTGAAGGTTAATAACGTTATGCTCTCATCGGCAAAATGCGTCTGGCACGCTATGTTCTTATGCACGCGAGCTCCTCATTCGAGCTGGATCGGGCCGGTATGCCTTTCCCGATTCCAAACCATCGCGGCATTTTTCGTAAGAAATAATCTTGTAAAAATATTAATAACTATCGTTTATACCACATACTGAGTTGGTATCCTGGCGTTACTTATCAAAAAACCGAATAAATATTTTGTTGTTGTAGCCGTTTCATTGGTTAAGATTCTCCCTATAAATTTATTTCATTTTAAAGCAATTGCAGGCTGAACATTTTCATCATTGTCTATGAGGGTAAAAGGAAAATGTCGAGTAATCGCAGCACGCAGTGAGGCGAGGCTCTTTGTCGTCGCCGAGGAGCGAAGTCCTATCCCAGGCTCTTTGAATAAATTACACATTTTATCTGAGACTCCGTTTACAGACTCCGGCTCAATCCCGGCTTGTGTCAATAGTCGGCGAGGAGCGGGGCTTGAGATAATAAAAGTGCGGTTTCACCACTGGCCAATTACCGCAGTGTGTGCCCCGCTGCTGCGTGCCCTGCCCAGGACGAAGCCCGGAATAAAGGGATTTCCAGGGGGGAGGGAGGGCATGCTAATGAAGCAGGGGCGCAATTAGTCCCTATCTCTCTCGGCCAGACCTTGTCTTATGCGGGAGCACGAACTTACCAACGGAGAGGTGGCATAATTACTTATTTATGTCCAAAGTCCGCCACAAGGTTTGTACCTTGTTTAAACGCGCTAAATTCAGTTAGCGTGGTCTAATTACCCTTGTTTGTCTGGGAAAATCGAGCTGGTTGATACTTTCCGTGCGATATATTTTTAATATACAGGGTGTCCTTTTCAGATGACCCTGCTGAATTTCTCTTGAACCAATGACTCTCTCTCTCTCGCTCTCTCTCTCTCTCAAAATATCTATCTCTCTCTCTTTCTATCTATCTATCTATCTATCTATCTATCTCTCCAAAAAAAAAAAAAAAAAAAAAAACTTCGAAATTTCAAACACAACCCTGTACATCTTGACAAACATTTTAAAGGATTATTTACGCTGAAAACAATGGTGCGATCGGAATTTAAATTGGTCAAATAATGACAAAGTTGTGGCAAAAAAATTGAAAAAAAAAAAAAACAATCTTTTGGGTTACTATTTATTTATCACATTTCGTGTTCGAACTGCCTGCCTTCTGTAAAGATGCTAAAATTTGTAGAAATGATGTATGATGGAGTGAGTGCGATGTTCAATCCTTTCTAAAAAGATAGGTCCTACTCACAGTAAGTAAGAAAGTAAACCATCTAAAAGAAACAAAACATAACTTCAGTTCAAATTTAAATACAACAGTGATACTTAGTTTCAACTAAGGAAGAGAACTAGATTTGTTTGAGAAATTTGGAATTAAAAAATGTAAAATTGAACATGGAGATAAATGCATTAATAAAATAACAGATTTTGATCTACCTCCCATTTTAAATATGTACATAAATAATATTAAACGTCCAAATAATTAAATTAATTATTTTAATTGTTATTACTTTTAAAATAATTTAATAAAATTAATTATTTACTATTATAATATTTACTTGTGTTATAATTCCCTCTTTTCGCACGTTCAAATTGAGCGCCATTAAAAAACCAGCTGCTAATTGGAACGTCGCGTTGGCGGGTATCAGCGGGTTCACTTTTGCAATTCATGTCGAGAGAAGTGGTTGTAGAAATGCTTCAACCTGATGATGAGCTAAGGGCTCGAAATCCGGAGCATTGCAAAACAACTTACTGTGAGTAGGAACTATCTCTTTAAAAAGGATTGCAAAAATTTGTTCCTTTTAACCACTCTTTCTTTACAAGTGCTCAGAGCGATAGAGTCAAAGGAGATGGAGTGACTCCTTCAAAATCCAACCTAAACTTACATAAAAAAGCAATATCTAACTGGCACTCTCAACTCGATAGACAAGAATGACACATCTACACGGGAAATAAATTTTCTAGTATTGTATAAATTCAATTTTTTTAAATCTAAAATTTTCTAGCATTGTATAAATTCATTTTTTTTATCTAAAATTTTCTAGCATTGTATAAATTCATATTTTTTTCACATCCTACATGTATTTGTAATATTGTTTATAAATCCCAGGCCCTGAAGATGATCTCAATAAAGATCGAAACGTTGGCACGATAAAGAAAATGTTTTTCTAAAACCTACGTCACACCAGACCGCATCTCACGATCTCCAAATAATCACGGTCACTAAACACCACCCATTAAAAAAAAAAGTGTTTTTCTAAACTACTTAATTCTTGACCGCTCTTCACAACTTCAACAAAGTAATAATTTTTTTAAAATGAATGTTCAGAAACGACATAACTTGGTCAGGGATATAAGCAGGGCGTGGCATCACAAACTCATTTAATACGTCAAAAAGGCAAAAAGCGCGTTTAAAAAACCAAAATATTGATGTAGATAGACCAGATTGATCTGAAACAATCAATCAATAAAGTAAAATTCAGATTCTGTTTTAAGGCTAATTCTTGTTCAGCATTAATATAACATGATTATGCACAAAAACATCTGACACACGTCAAAGCTCCGATGTCATTCCATCCATCTAATTCGCATTAAGTAATAATCTGATAAGGGATATAAGTAGGGTGAGGCACCGACAACACTATTGATAGGTTCTTCGGAAACATATTAACACACATGGTGTTTCTTTCTTTTTCATATCTGGATTCAACTTAATTGCCGTGAAATAGGACGATTTCTCTGAAAAAGGATAATGGTTAAGTCGATTGAGGTAATATTTGGCTTGATAAACAATAAAACACGCTTAGATTCAAAATAAAAAATATTGACCCAAACAGTTTATGGGTATTTATAGGCATAACTTATTTAGACAAATAATTACAAAGAAGATAAGTGTCTGCTAAGTTTCCAAGTGAAATGGTATTTTATCTATGACTTTTCAAAACAATCAACCGATAATATTTCAGACTTTTTTATATAATTGAATTTAACGGTAAATTTTTAAATTAAAAAGGTTCATAACTAACTAAAAAGATAGCTGAATGAATGGTTCCTGGCCCGTTCGGATCATTTTGGTTTTACCATTGTTGCTGTTATGGTTGTCAAGCTGGACTTTCCGCCATTTTCAGTGTTGTGTTTGTGTGATTTTTTCTGTTGTCGGATCTGTTTTATGTGTTCTTTGTCTGTCGGCGTGCTTGACGGATTAAGGTGTTTTTTAATGAAAATGACCAAGCGGGTCCATTAACAAACCTCAAGAAGAAATCTCGCGTTTCCAAAGGGACAAAGGGTTCAAATTAGCTCCCTGCGCGGCAAATGGATAATTACCCCTTCTACCCGAGAAAGTTAATGACGGCTATTCTGTTGGCTTTAGAAGGGAAGGGTGTTGTAAAATAAACAACAATTAAACTTAGTATCAAGATAGCGACGCTCACAGATTAGACCCTAATGGGGATTTAAACTGAATATAATTGCCTGGGTGGTTCTGTTTACATTTCCCAACTTCCTGAAACGGCCGAAGAACTCTTACTCTACCCGACTTTCCCCCGGACCAAGTTTACAACAGAGTATTAACAGGCAAGTTTACAGCTTAAAACTTGTAAATTTTATGCTTTTTTATGTGGTGTCACAGTTTTAATGTAAAAATCAAGAGGAATTTCCAAAATAAACATCATTCTATTGTGTCTAACTCCTCGTTTTCCTCGGTCGTTTGAATTTATTATGGTTAGAAGTTTAATTGAACTTTTCCGACCATTAATTAGTTTATTTTTGGCTATTTCGGGACTTAGTTGCTGGCCCTGTAGACTTTGTGAGTTCAAACCTGACTCTTTTGGAGTAAGGTTTGACCTTCAAATGGTTTGATGAGAAAACTGGTAGCTAAGCCCCGAAATGCTTAGGCAAAAATCAACACTACAATTTAATCCATTAGATTTCGTGATCCGATGGACCAAATAACCTGTTTTAATAAATTAATCTTCATGTGAGGTATTGGTTGAGATGAAAAAAGCCAGTGTCACGAGCGGGATTCGAACCTTCAGCTAGATACACAAAGATGGGAAGTTAGTGTCCAAGTGGATCGAAGTCACGATAGCTCAAGTGGTAGAGCAGCGGCGTATTTAGCCGAAGGTCCGTGGGTTCCAATCCCGCTCGTGACACTGTCTTTTTTATCTCAACCAATACCTTACATAAAGACTCAATTAATGTTTTGAAAAGTTAAATTAAACACCTAAATATAATTTCATGACTGTTCCTCTTGAGATCGGCGTATGATTAGTTTGGTTGGGCTTTGTTTTTTAATTTTATTGTGAAAATTGGAGATTATATGATTATTTATTGATTAGATATTATGTAGAAAACTAAAATATAATTTTTTGCATGTTGAATTCATTTGACATAGGGAAGAAAACGTCAAAGGTAGATCTTAACAAATGAGATTCTTTTCTACCATTCTTACACGTCAAGGCCGTTGGATATGGTGGGAATAAAATGAAAGATTGAAAAAATACATAGACCCGTTTTGGCATAAAGAAAGGAGGAAATGTGTAGGTGTAGAGTAAGGGCGCCTAAAGAGAGTCAGCAGGGGGTGCCGGAGACAAGGGTATCAGGTTGTCCCAAGGCACTAAACCCTGTCACCAGGGAAAGGGGATCTAAGGATGAAATAGTGTGGATATTTAGTGTTCTGGTATGGCTGACCAGATCAAAGGGAGACCGCCATCTTACCTTTACCTTAGAAAAATGGTCAGAAGAGGGGGAGATAGTAAATCATGACGACTTGTGTGGTCCTCCGGCAATTACCTCGCTCACCCTTCGCCCTCTCGCTCTTCGGGGGCTTAATCACCGGGGGAGTAGCCATTTTGGTTATTACCCCAAAGCGTAACCGCGTCCTACCCCAGTTGGAAAATAAAATCTAGAAAACGAACATGGAACCGTCTCACAAACAGATAAATTAACATAAAATCTTCACGAACGAGCCTGGTGTTTAATCTCGCGCCCTTGTCCTGCCGGTATGCAAATGACCTTTTCGCTACCACCGCCAGTCGGATATCCTGATTTGTGTTTGCTGATTAACCTCTTTTCTTCGTCGAAACTACAAATAAAACCTGGTATTTCAAATATTGACATGCAAATCTCTTGAAAACTCGATTTTATTAATGAAAGCATAAATAAACTGACAAATAAAGAAGATTATTTACTGCAGAAGAGTTTTCGCTCCTATAAAAATGGCCTCTGGCAAAACGCACAGTTTGTAAATCGCAAGTTTAACTATAATAAATTGCATCAAATTATTATCTATTAAACCATTTCAAGCCTTGGAAGTAGAAAGAAAAAGACCATTTGCAGTACCATAGACAAATTTTATCATTTTGTTAAACAATTGTATGTCTTTTCCAAGCTTAAGTGGCACGTGATACATGCACGAATCACAGCTGACATAAAATCGAATATTCTACAGTATGATGGATATTCTTGACAACTATACACAAATTTCATTCTATCCTCAAAAACACAAATGTACAAATATGATGATCAACGATGATGTAATTCCCAAGTTCTCTCCTTAAGTCGGTAAAGTTTCTGGATAAACAGGCACGACAGAAGACTTTCATGAGAAGCCCCTTTAGGAATGAAAATTCTTCACGACGGACATTTTTTATCGACTCAATGTAGATGATGATGATGATGAGAAATATGTAAGGAAGGTAACGGTTTGGTATTCTCAAGATCTGTAGTCTTTTGGGTTATTGTATTTTTCCTAGTTACTTAGAGAACTTCCATTGACTTGATCTTCTTGTAAAAAGCAGCAGAAAAATAACTGTCACATGAACAGAAATGGAAAAGAAATTATGAAGTATGTCTTTTTCGATGCCCAATACAGAGGGAATTTAGGACAAAATGGCTAACCAAAGTCTCTCATTGTAGGAAAAGCCATAGAATTCGCATAGCAAATGGACAAAACTGAAATCCTTTATCTATCGTCCATGTTTAAAAGCGTATCAAAATTATTTTAGTCTGCCTTACCTATTATTATTAGTATTATCATCAATCGTAAGCCGGACTGTAAACAATGTTCTCGATGTTGCGCACCTGATCATCTTTGTTTCTGGGTTGTTGCGGACCTCTTTCTGAATTTTTCTATTTTGGTTCTGTTCGATCATTCTTGTCTGCCTATCCTGTCTGTCGGGCGTGTTTCTGCCTTGTGTTTAGTGGGTGGGTAAAGGTACTTTGCTCTGCTTAAAACCCACAAGTTAGCAAACTGCTAAAACTCATCTGACCAATTTTTTTACCCAAGATAATGGTAAATTGTTATGCTTTCTTTGGTTTTGATGGTTTTCGATGTTTTAAACAACAATTTGGGATATGACCCGTCTGACAGACCAAAACAAAGAGGATAGGTAAGCCAGAGAGGTGAAAACTACCAAACTGCTTTTCTAGATTCTAATCCTTTAATTTTTTAGATGTATACATCACCCAGCAAACCCTATGAAGAAATATTTCCATTTATGGTGGGACGTCCATTACGCAGCAAAGTTTATTGTATTGGTGATGATGAAAATGAGATTTTTAAAAGGAAGCGAGGTTTTGGTATTCCCCAAGCACATCATCCTTTTGGCTTATTGTAGTTTTCTTAGATCCCATTCGTGAGGTAATAGTAGTGGGTTGGTATTGTTACCTAGCCCTGCTTATAACCCTAAAACCATTAAAGGTAGCACACTGCTAAAACACATTGACCAGTTTGTTTTTTTCTTACCCAGACGCTTTGTACCCAATATATTGGTAAATTTTATGGTTTACTTGGTTTTGGAGGTTCGATGTATTCGATGTATTCAACGACTATTTTGGTGTAACCTTTTACGTGCTCTTACGGCTACCTTGCTGTCTAATCTTATGAGGATTTTTTTGTTGTAAATGAAAACTCTTTTAAGATTTTCAATGATACAAGCGTCGATGTATTTCAGCTTAAAGACCGAGGTGCACCTCCATAATGAGTTTCATTCATATTTTGGGGTCATTTCCGATAATTTTGATCGGCCTATCTTCACAGATTACCTCTGGGCGTGCCGAAGCAAACTTAACGCTTAAGATGGCCGAAACTATCTACCTCCTTAGGTCAGTCCGACATCTTCAGTGGTAGTTTTTATAACCTATTTGATTATAGTTATTCAATTTTACGTAAATAACACAATTTTATAATATATGATCGGTATAGTCATAGATAAAAGCAGAATGACTCACCGAAACAGATCCATCACTGATCTGAAACGACTAAACTACTGTCCCATCATACCGCAGACTTCACTAAGAAATTTCATAAGATACAGTTACTCATGATGATGATACTAGGTGATGATGAATATGGAAACTAGGAAGTAGGGGGTTTTATGTTCCTCGAGCACTGCAGTTTTCTGGCTTATTGTACTTTTCCTTGTACCTTAGTTCAACGCAATCGACCTGATCCTTTTTTTAAGATGTTTTTGGTCATTGAATGGCCAGGAACTAGAATTCATTGCCTTGGGTTTTCTTCATAGCCTAGATTTACTAATCTATAAAACTGAAAATAAATTTAATTCTTAAATAAATAAATTTAAAAAACAAAGTTACTGTAAATATTGTTTGAGACATGATGTCGTATTTTTTCCCCCAACAGTCTCTCGAAGGAGAGAAGATCCTCGGCAACATTTTAGTTGATTTATGCACCATTGTTCCTATCTGGAAACAAAATCAGAAAAGGGGGTTAACGGCTAATACGCGTTATTAATTCCCGGGCACATATCAACCGAATCCCTGTTCAAACACTGTTTCCCACCCGATGGGCGATTATCCCACACAGCTGACATTTGGTTTATGTAAAAAGCACAATTTATTTATATACAGGCGTGACCAGAAAGCGGTTGATGGGTGTATATTAATTTCTGAAGCTGATTTAATATTAATGTTAAAGCGTGCAAGCGTTACGCTTTCTTTTTTTCTATAAATTACTAATTGATAGACTTTATTGGTTTTTATTGGCGATTAAGTAATCAAACAAACTTAAAAAAACTAATTGTCCTATACAAAATTGATTAATAACAATGAGGTTTATAAGAGACGTTTACTTTTTTTAAAACAATCCAGTCAAATCGGTTTACACATTAACAAACTTAAGTAATTACCTCTTCCTTTTTTGACAATTATATCCAGAGATTATTGGGAGATCGTGAGGTGCGGTCTGGTGTGACGTAGGTTATAGAAAAACATTTTCTTTATCATCCAAGCGTTTCGACCTTTATTAGGAACATCTTCAGGGATCAAAGTGTTTGTTTTTCGTGTAGATGTGTCATTCTTGTGGGTCGTGTTGAGATATTTACACATATTTTATTATATTTAATCATAATTGCCATAATCATCATAAATTGTTAAAACAGAATCTTACAGTTTGGTTAAGTGGTGCAAAGCTGCTGTGGTGCTCTCTCTCTCTCTCTCTCTCTCTCTCTCTCTCTCTCTCTCTCTCTCTCTCTTCTCTCTCACTGTCTTACCATTCCTAACTTTTGATGGAGGACTTGCACCACTTAACAAAACTGTAAGATTCTGTTTTAACAATTTATGATGATATGGTAATTATGACACAAGGATTACACGTCCCACAAGAATGACACATCTACACGGAAAACAAACACTTTGAGCCCTGAAGATGTTCTCAATAAAGATCGAAACGTTGGCACGATAAAGAAAAATTTTTTTTTAATCAACGTCACACCAGACCGCATCTCACGATCTGCAAATAATCTTTAATGAACGGTCACTAAACACCATACATCTATCTATCCTGCCTTTGTCTTATCTTTGGCTTTTATAAAAAACCATTTATTGGAAATTACCAACGAGAAATAAAAGTACTATCGGAAAACTTTTGAACAGAGAGTGATCACTAATGGCAACAGTTAGAGCGTAGACCCGACGACGACGGGTTCGAATCTTAGCAGCCCTGAATATTCCTTCCTGACCCCATTTAGCTTATAAAAATATCATCTCATAAAATATATAATCATATCTTAAGAAATATTACATTCAGAAATGACGTGAGTACTGTATTGGTGCCTCACCCTGCTTACATCCCATCCCGACCGTCTCCCTGTCTGATATACCAAAACAGCGAATATATGAACACCAACATGGTTGGAAACGAGCAAGTTATGATTTTTCTAAGATACATATTTATTTTAAAAAACGTGAACTAATTTAGCTATTTCTTTGATTTTCTACCTCCCCCCCCCAGAAGAGACGACAGTACTGCGCTGCAGTTCATTTCGTACAAATGTATGTCACTTATACATATTTAATTGTGAAACTGTTGATTCAACCGACTATGCATGGATTAGAAGCGTACATCATATTTCTTTCCCGTGAGTATTCTTTTTCCCAGTTACAAATCCATGATCGACGGACGGCATTTAACGTGAAATGTTGCCTTCTCGTGATCATAGACAACCATGTTTGATATATGCTAGACGTGAGAGAGTTCTGGATATAATTGTCAAAAGTGAAGAGGTAAGGCGGAGCTGCGAGCACTATCATCAATGGACATAAATCCTGATGAGCGTCTTCAACAACTTAATGGATCACGTCCGAGAAATCCCCGCCCCCGTCATCACTTCATCACGGCCTTCGCCCGTTGGAAAAAAACAACCGACACAGGCAAATCCATAATAGTAATATAAAAAGAGGTGTTATTGATCGACTGTCCCCCGGGCGCGGTCTACACACAGGCAAGAGTTACTGCTTTATCCTTCTTTCTGATTAAATATTCTTTATAATCTCCTTTGGGCGGACGCCGACGAATAAATCTAACGGCGGCTTAGGAAATCGTGAGCATTACCAACCCGTGGAATGCCTAACTATAAAGGGCAATACATTATACTGAAAACCATCAGTTTGAATTTTCACTGCATTCTCTTCAATTTCAATCTCTTTCAAAAGAGATTTCGATTCCAAACTAGTAAAACGACTAAAAACCCGCATCAATACCAATGTGTTTTTGCACAAATAATAATTAAATCTTATTCTTGGAGGAAAGGTCTAACGTAGCGAGTGGAAAATGACATCAATGAAACACCCAAAAAATCATATGAGTAATGTTTAAAAGTAATCATAATATTATTACTTGCAGCACGCTTCGAAGCACGCGATGCCGATATGGCCATGATGGACACCAGCAATTTACTAAAGTACTGTTCACGCATTTCAAACAATAAAAACAAATTTCAAATATTTATTCATTTTAAAATAACTATTCGGAGTTCGTGAGATACGGTCTGGTGTGTCGTAGGTTTTAGAAAAATATTTTCTTTATCGTGCCAACGTTTCGAACTTTATTGAGATCATCTTCAGGGTCTGGGATTTATAAACATTGTTTAAATTTTACAAATACATGTAGGATGTGAAAAAATGAATTTATAGAATGCTAGATATTTGAGATTAAAAATAAAATAAAAACTAAATAAATAAAATGAATTTATACAATGCTAGAAAATTTTAGATTAAAAAAAATTGTACAATGCTAGAAAAATTTAGATAAAAAAATGAATTTAAACAATGCTAAAACATTTTTTATTAAAAAAATGAATTTATACAATGCTAGAAATTTGAGATTAAAAATAAAATAAAAACTAAATAAATAAAATGAATTTATACAATGCTAGAAAATTTTAGATTAAAAAAAATTGTACAATGCTAGAAAAGTTTAGATAAAGTAATGAATTTATACAATGCTAAAAAAATTTATATTAAAAAAATGAATTTATACAATGCTAGAAAATTATATATTAAATGAATGAACTTATACAATGCTACAAAATTTTGGATTCAAAAAAGTATTTGTATACTTTTTTCACATCCCACGTGTATTTGTAAAATGTAAACAATGTTTATAAATCCCAGGACCTGAAGATGATCTCAATAAAGATAGAAACGTTGGCACGATAAAGAAAATGTTTTTCTGAAACCTACATCACACCAGACCGCATCTCACGATTTCTGAATAATTATCACATACGCACACTGAAGATGTCGAAAAGTACAATCGCGTCTGAAAATGCAAAACTGCAAAAATAGCCTTTTTTGTTGAAATGCAGACAACACAAGGCGCTGATGATGATCTCAATAAAGATCGAACGTTAGCACGATAAAGAAAATGTTTTTCTAAAACCTACGGCACACCAGACCGCATCTCACGATCTCCGAATAGTCATTGTCTAACGGTCACTAAACATCATTGTAAAATAACCTTTTTTTAATTGTTCTATTTTTTAAGACGGTAATGACCGTTTAACGGACCGAAAAACGCAGTATTTTAAATTAAACTATAACCGTTTTGAACGGAATGAAACTAGTTCCATGAGATTCCGGGCTTTAGAAGTGCTTCGAGTAAGTTTTGAAAGTTGCGAATCAAGCTTTCTGGTGTTTCTTGCCAACAGGGGCTTGCAACTCGCCATCCCGTAAGCCGTTTTGAAGACTTTTGTCTTTTATGTATGCTCTGTGTCAAAAACCTCCTTCCGAAATAAAACTAAGTCTATCATTCTTCAAAACAATAAATGTGTAACGTTTGTGGCGGTATGGAGCAGGAAGGGACAAATTCGAGTTCGATCAGAAAGCCGATTCTCCTAAACAAATGTATTTTTAACCTTTGGCTATTCTTTCTCGAAAAAAAACCGTACTATTTTCGTCTTGTAAAAAAATAATAGAAAAACTTATAGAGAAAAGTTGTTCTGGATGTCGCACATAATTGAACGAGAATTCCTTGGCACCACTCAGGGAGCGAGTAGGAATGCAGTCCGATATAAGAGTTGTGGTTCCGTATTCCGATTTCTGTAGAAAACTGGGGAACTTCAGTATATAGAGTGGGCTCAACCGAAACAAACATACTTTGAGGATTTATAGGAAATTTCATGTTGAACAAAAATGTTCTTACAAACATAGGTCTTCAAATGAAGCTGAAGCTTTTATCTTCACTCTTGCACTACACACACAATCACGCATATAAATACATTCTTACGAACAATTAAAACATCTGTCACCAACTTTAGTTTATATACCAGAATAGATTTATCTGCAACAAACAAAATACCGGTTGGGCCCAAAAGAAACAAAAATATTTTACGGATTTATAGGAAATGTCATGCTGAACAAGAAATTTCTTATAAACATTGGTCCTCAAATGAAGCCTTCTATGAGAAAAGCCTTTAAAAACCGTGTTTTTTGTTTTTTGTTTTTTCAAGAATTACTTCCAAATGGCTCCCTGTCTCAAATTGAGAATAGAAAAAAAACGATTTCAGCATTAAATTTTGAGTACAATAAGGCTCTCGTTGCCAAGATATGATGTTTTTGATATAACTACTTTAAAAAAAAAAAAAAAAAAAAAAAAAAAAAAAAAAAAAAAAAAACAGTTTTTTTAGACGTTTTTTCTGTATTAACACTTTGAAATAAATTGTAGGAAATTAAATTCTTTTAGAAAGAGACCAACGCCACCTCTTAGGTACCACAATCTTAATTCGTTTATATACCAGGCCAATTTGCGGTAGGTTTTACTGGTTAGTAAATCGCTTGAAAGAAAGAAGACTCATTCTACTCAAAATTTAATGCTCGATTTAATAGTGAAATACTTTTTTTTTCTATACGTATTTTTGAGACATGGAGCCATTTGGAAGTAGTTTTTGAAAAAAAAAAATTTTAGA